ATAAAATGAAATGAGTGGATGAATGAAATGAAATGGAATGAAATGAATGAATATGGAAATTCGAATCAATATGAAAATTTCCGATCAAATGATTTTAATTTAAAATGTTATATAAATTGAAAATAACACAATATCCTAGCATTATTTCTTATGATTTAAGCCAGAGCCATATTTGTCCTATCTTGGCTATTTGATTATTTCAGTCTAGGATAATAAATAATTGAGAGTGTACATATTGAATGATTTAGAAATGGGTACCAAATTGCTCATTTTATCCCGCAATTGTATGTCATTATTGCTCAGGCTATCAATTAATGGTCATGGGGTCACTCACTTACTACTAACAATTGGATGGACATTTATAGTTTTGTGTATTTGAAAATGTATGTATGTTGTACTGTGTCTGTGTCTGTGTATCTGTGTGTATGTGTGTGTGTGTGTGTGTATGTGTGTGTGTTTGTGTTCATATTTGTATATATTTGTGTATACATATATATGTGTATGTGTACGCATGAATCATTGTAGAAAATGATTGTCATGGATTAGAAAAGCGACCGGATGACATCGAATAGATGTCAAGGTCCCTTCCCCAAGTGACACACATACATGCACACATATAGACATCCATAAACAGACAGAAATACACACGCATACGTAAACATGCTAGATAGAGATGAGGTGAGTCCGGTTTCCATTAGTCCTTTAATGATTACCTCCACCCCCGCTTCTCCAGTATCAGTCTTAATCATATTTTATTCCATAATTAATTCATTATCATAAAATGTTTCAGATATGTATGTTTTTTTTTATTTATTTGACTGAAAAAATTTCAATTTGATTAATTAATTGTTGAATTAATTAATTAATTAATTGTGTTGTAAACCTTTGTTGATTAGTTTGCTTATTGAAAGAGCCAAAATAAAAAAAAAAGTCTTACACAAAATTGTGGCATTTAATGATGTATGTTTTATGTGGACACTATAAATGTGTGTCATTTGTCATGTGTTAAGATCATACAAACCGATAAGCCGATAGGCTTATTTGATGTTACAACAAAAAAAAAGAGAAAGAAAAATATCTGGTAAAGGTAAAGATAGATGATGGTAAAGGAATTAAATTTATACGAATTCGTAATATTTTGGACAAAAATTTAAACTACAAATGATGATTGTTGCATAAATTAGGAAATATAAGAAAAAAAAAAAGGGGTGACAATTATATAATTTCTTTTATTTATTGAATTATAAAACATTAACAATCTGATAAATTGTTATATTTTAATTAGAAGATTAGTAAAATTTATTGCACTAACAAAATTTCACAAATAATCATTACAATTCATTTCTAGAATTTCTATGAAAAAAAAAAAGAAAAAACAAGAAACGAATTTCAAATCATGTAAAAAATTATTTTCCACTAATTTATTATCCAATTTCTTTTTTTTTCGTTCCTAAATTTAAATTTGTTTAATTT